TATCCTACAGATCTTGTTATTAGTATTATATGTTCAATTCCATGTATTTATCATATTAGTATTTAACTTCCAAACATGTGGGGGTTTTAGTTCCTTTTTGTTGTGGTTACAGATTCGTGGTTTTTGTTTTTAAGATTTATTTATTCGTCAGAGAGAGCGCGCGCACACAGACGGGGAGCGGCAGGCAGAGGGAGGAGGGTCCGACGGGTCCGGGGACCATGACCATGGCCGAAGGCAGATGCTTACCTAACCAGTTGAGCCACCCGGGCATCCCACGTTGTTACTGATTCTTTGAATTACTGCGTTATTGGTCAGAAAAGACACTGTGTATGTCAGTTCTTTGATAATTCTTAAGACTTTTCTTTGAGCCTGGCCTGCACAAGGTAGCTGGCCTTCACTGGATGACTTGTCCCCACAGGTCCTGCCTGGGCTTTGGTTTTTTGGTGAGGCTTTCACAAGTAAGCTTCAGTTTTTCAAGAATCATCTGTGCTTTTTTTCCCTCTGGATTATTGTATTCCCTTCAGTTTGACCAAGTATGTTTTTGGATGCCTCTTTATTTAAAAATACGTATGTTTTACCTTGTTTGGTGGTTTTCAGTGGGAAAATTGATGGAAATACTAGCCTGGCATTTATTGGAAAGCTCTGCTCATATTTTCCATCCTCTTGCTTTCTCACCTGGTTTAATAGGTGAAGTGAGATTTTCAGACCCCTTTTTTTTTTTTTAGGATTTTATTTGTTTTTTAGAGAGTGCATGAGCCAGGGGAGGGGCAGAGGAAGAGGGAGAAGCAGACTCCATCCTGAATGGGGAGCTGGACGCCATGCTTCATCTCAGGACCCCAAGATCATGACCTGAGCCAAAGGAAGATTCTTAACTGAGCTACCGAGGTGCCCACCCCTTCATGAACATTTGTAGCATATCAGTTTCTGCTCTAGCTACAGGGGGTGATGCATTGATAGAAAAGATTTACTCCTCTCTTTAAGAAAGTTGTGTCTTTAAGAGGGAAGATATTGAAAATGGTATCTGCGGGGTGCCTGGGTGGCTCAGTCGTTAAGCGTTTGCCCTCGGTTCAGGTCATGATCCCAGGGTCCTGGGATCGAGCCCCGCATCGGGCTCCCTGCTCTGTCTCCCACTCCCCCTGCTTGTGTTCCCTCTCTGGTGGTCTCTTTCTCTGTCAAATAAATAAATAAAATCTTAAAAAAATGAAAATGGTATTTGCTTAGGCTTTTCCCTCATTGAATTTCAAAAAAGTGTTGTTTCTGTTGTTTCAAAGAGTTTCTTTTAAAGTCAGGTAGGTTTCCCTGGAATGTCTTTATGGTCTGTCTCCATGGTGTACCAGTGAGTCATGCTATTTGTGTTTTGCTCCGTACCCGCCTAGTTCTTCATTCATGAGTCTCTTGAAAGGGTCTGCTTAGGGATGCCTGGGTGACTCAGTCGTTAAGCGTCTGCCTTTGGCTCGGGTCATGATCCCAGGGTCCTGGGATCGAGCCCCGCATCGGGCTCCCTGCTCAGCAGGAGGCCTGCTTCTCCCTCTCCCACTCCCCCTACTTGTGTTCTCTCTCTCACTGTCTCTCTCTCTCTCTGTCAAATAAATAAATAAATAAAATCTTTAAAAAGGAGGAGGGGCTGCTTAACCGAAGCTCCCTTGCAGGCAGGGACAAAGCCCTGTCCTTCTCTGTGGGACTAGTCAAGGGCCTGAGGGGTACCCAGTGACTGCTAGAATGAGTGAAGCAACATAATTCTCTATGAAGAATGAAGGGCTCAGTCACCATGTCCAGGAATCGGGGAAACAGTTGTATGTGGAGTCAGGCAGGGAGCATGAACTCTGACTGGAACGTAACTGTCAGAACCAGTTTTCCTGGTACTCCTGGCACGGCTGCAGGAATAGGAATCTGTAATGTGCAACTGTTGGAGCTAAAGACTAGCCGCTTACGTGCACAGTGCTTGGAGGTGGCTGTTTTTTCCCGTGTGGCAACATGCCACGCTGCATGGGGAGGTCATCGAAAGCAAGCGGCTTGCAGAGCTCCTGGCTGGGGGAGCATTCTTAGAGATGCCAGGGGTCCGCCTACCTGCAGAGGACTCCAGGGACGGACTCCTGCTTGGTCTTATCCCATTTTTTCACCTGGCATATTGGCTGCAGCCCCAGGAGGGACCTAGGATGCCAGGGGTTTTGTCCATTGGTAGAAGGGGGCTTGTCCTCCCCCCCCGACCAGGGGCCTGTGACATGGGTGTCAGCACTTGAAGGCGTTCTGAGGCTCAGCTGTGCTTCAGAAACTCAAAGGGCCTTCGTGTGACCGACCTGGAGTCCAGGTGCCTACTGTGGGTGATCCATTCTCCAGACATGTCACTTGTCTCTTGGTGCTCTGACGTGCGGTTTATCCCATAGTCAAGAAAGAGAAGCCAGGCCTAAAGGTGAAGTGGGATGTGGGGGTCTGATATCAGGCAACTTGCCACAGTACTAACCCAGCTGTTCAGACCAGAGGTTTTGTTTCTTTTAAAGGCCTCTCGGCCAGATCAGAGGCCCCAGAGCTTCCCCCCATCCCCCCACCGACCTCCCCTACCCTGCACGCCTCTGTCTCTTGGGCCAGGGAAGCACTATGCTACCTTCAGGGTCCCAGCCATGAGGAAGGGCCATTCTAGAGTGCCTGCAGACACCTACAGGGGTTCTGGAATTTGATGTGGTTCAGCTGCTGGCTGGAGGGAGCACCAGTCAGTGTCATGTGTCCCTCAGCCAGGCTATGGCACCATTGTTTTCTACCCTTTGGGCAAGAAGCTGCCTCTCTGAGCTTTTGTGTTGAAGATGGGGACAGAGTCATCACCAGTGAGGGGAGCTCTCTGGTCACTACGTATTCATTTACCCAGTAGTTATGTAAGGAGCACCTGTCTTGAGCCTTGGGACGAGGCCTCGAATGTACCTCCCCGGGGACTCAGGTCTGGCCCGAGCTTGGCACTGCCTGGAAGTGAGCTGGGTCTGACTCACAAGAGCCTGTGGAGACTCAGTTCCCACACATTGCTCGCCGGGGAGCCTGCAGCGTCCTATTCCTTCCAAGTGTCTCCACACCTAGTCAAATGACCCATCGTGGCAAATGGAGGCGAGGCAATGTTGGAGCGTTGGAAAGCTGGGATCATCCTTGCCCACAGGAGATTTTCCTTCTGTTCCTGGCTAAATTCAGAGCTCCCCTTTTATAGACTTCATAGGGACTCCACCTCCTGTCAGCCCAAGCTCTTTTTCCAGTACATAATCCCCATGATGAGATTGACAGTCCCCCAATTTCATAGTCACACACTCCAGCCTCCTCTAGGGGGAAGAGGGAGCGCCTTCGGTAGCTCCAAGTGTGGGTTATGTTCTCATCTGCAAAATGAAGATCTTTATGCTTAGGCCTTCTTCCTTCCCGGGATGGCTGTTTGCATCTGTCAGGGTTCAGGTTGGAAAACTGAATCCACCCTAGTTGTTCTAAAGCATAAATGTGCATTTTAATACATGGGAAGTGCTGCCGCTTGGTATTGAAAAGGCTAAAGGAGCAGGTCTTTAAGAATAACTCTTGACATCTCAGCCTTGACCCACCATGGAAGCTGTTACCTCTGCCCCAAGCAGAAGGGCAAGAGGTGGGAGCCACCATCTGCACTGATCTCTTTGGGTTCAAGGAAACACGACCACAGCTCCTTGCCAGGGAGGAGGGACCCAGGCTGAGGACATTGTGGCCTCTGCCATGATGCCAGCCATGTCTGCCACCACCAACACCCACAGCAGCTGAAACTGGCCTCTGAGTGTCTCACTGGGGGGAACTTCTTTTTTTATTTTTTTATTTTTAAGATTTTATTTATTTATTTATTAGAGAGAGAGAGCATGAGAGGGGGGAGCATCAGAGGGAGAAGCAGAGTGAGCAGGGAGCCTGAAGCAGAGCTTGATCCTAGGACCCTGAGATCATGACCTGAGCCAAAGGCAGTCACCCAACCACTGAGCCACCCAGGTGCCCCTCACTGGGGGGGAACTTCCTAATTCATGTTCAGAACCCTTGCCACGAGGGAATTGGGCTGGAGGGAACTTCTGGTTTCTGCAGGGCAGGCTGGCATGCCCTCCACCGTGGGCGTCAGCCAAGGAGGGGTGGGCAGGACGCCTTCGAACAGCAGTCGGGAGCACTTTCCTGAAGTTGACGGCCTGTGATGAGCAAGAGGGAAAGGGTGTGCTCCTGGTGCCAGGGTAGGCAGACAGGTTTACGAGCTCAGAGGGGATTGAAGAGATGGGGTATGAAACTACTGTGGCAAAAATAGTCCTAGTGTAAGTTCTGAGTAATCAGGTGTGGCCTTGTCAAGTTCTCAGTACTTTTTTCCTAGGCCCAGAGAACACGGAATCAGATTGATCTCAGTCCTTGGTGTGCCTGCCACTCATGAGCCGCTGCATGTCCTACTTTGTTTAATTACTTAATTGTTCCCAGTAATAAACACTGTAAACCCTCCTCCCAGTAAGGCTCTGCCTTTGGCATAGCCTGCATGGCATACAAGACTCTTATTCTTATCCTTGGCCCCATCGGACAAGGAGAGCGTATGGAGCTAGTCCTGGGCTCTGTGTCCCTAGTGCCCTGGCACACTTGTTGTCTTGCTTGGTCCTTGCAATAGTATGGTGAGCTGTGGGCATTGGTGCCTCTGTTCTCCAGAAGAGGAAGTTGGCAGCTCCTAGAGGGTAAGTGACTTCCCCAGGTCACGAGGCCAGCAGCTCCCAGACTCACTCAGCACCTAGTGGACAAGGGCCGTGTGTCAGCTGCCGGGAGGCAGAGGTGCCTGGGATGGGCCTTGCTGGAGAGGAGGGGTGTACGGATCTCCTGTCAGTGCTGGCTGGGGCAGGTCCTCTCCCTGCACCTGTCCAATCCTTGTCCCCTGAGAATTGTGCATTTGAAACAAGAAATGCTTCAATTTTATCATTTTAGATAAGTTTTTTAAAATATAGAGTATATTATGTCATACTGATTATGTCTTTCTCTTTTGTTTTCCTCCTTTTTAAAAGATTGTTGATGGTGAGTGGTTTCCTCTCTTTCATTGGGTTTGGATACAGAATGGACGTGGGTGGGGGAGTACAGCGCTGAAGTCCTTGCCAGGCCCATGGGTGTGAGATTGCTGGGTGGGAAGAAGCCTGCAGTCAGTGCTCTGAGCTTGTTGAGGAGACTGCACTGCTAGTGCTGAGCTACGGTCCCATTGGAGTTTGGAGAACGCTCACCACCTTAGGCTTTAGACGGCCCCCCAGCTCAGGCACATGCTCATGGCAGGGATGGGGCTCCTGGGAAGACCGGAGGGTGGCCTCTGAGTAGCTGGGCAGGACCTGCTGGGTGTGGTGGCTGTGCCTCTTGGGTCTGGGACTGGCCTTTCCCAGGCGGGAAGGGGGTGGTGAGGTGATAGGGCTGGGGACCCTGCCCTGAGCATGGACTCCCATCTTAGAAAGGAGGCGGCCAAGGAGGAATGCAAGGCGGCCACGTCAGGACCACGCCGATAGCTGTGTGGTGAGCAGTGATGACGAGGAGCTATCCAGGGACAGAGACGTGTACGTGACCACCCATACTCCCCGAAACACCAGGGAGGAGGCAGCCACGGGACTCAGGTACCAGCACTCCCACCGCCCTGCTGCCTTACCAGATGCCTCTGGCCACGTGGAACCCCTTGTCCCCCGGAGTAGGGATCCTCTACCCACCCCCTTCCATTTCTCAGGGGTAGGGTACTGGAGATACTGGACCTTTCGCAAGTTCTGTGAGCCCATGGCTCGAGAAGGTCCTGTCAGAGCAGCTGCCGAGCAGCTGGGTGCAGGTGGGCCTGGATTCAGAGCCAGCTCAGCCATTCCCGGTGGGACAAGACGGTGCCTGCACTGGCAGGGTGAATGTGACTAGCCCTGGGCTGGTGGCACACATCACCACTTGCTGCACAGAGCAGACCCTGTGGCTCTCCGTGATCTGCAGCAGGAATGCTCGGAGGTGCTAGGCACAGCTCCTGACCCAGACAGGGAGGCAGAGAGCACAGGCTGTGGGTTTGGGAGGACAGGGCACCTCCAGTTGTCCGCACTTCGGTTCCCCTCTTGCCTCCCCGCTGCACCCCCTTGGGGCCGCTGGCCTTTCTGTAAGTCTCCTGGTGCCCATGCTAAGGGGTACGGGCTGCTTCTGTGAAGCCACTTAGAGTAATTGAATGTTTGAGTTTGCTGAGGAACTGACATGAAGCACTGTGATTTTAGGCCCTCTGGTACTGTCAGTTGTCCGATCTGCATGGACGGGTACTCTGAGGTAAGCAACCTTAGCTGTGTCTTCCTTGCTTCTGGTTTCCACATGGCTTCAGTGAAAGAATGAGATGAGAGAGAGGAGAGGGTCTTCTCTTTCGGTGGGATCTGAAACCTCCCTTCCGCAGTCAGGCCTGGCTGGCCCATGCAGCCTTCACCTCTGGCCCCTGTGTTCCTTGGGCTTCCACGTGAAGTGTGTCCGTCCCGTGCGTTCCCCGTTCCAGCTTCAGCAGAAGCTACTAGTGCTTCCTGTGGCCCCTGAGCCATCCGGCACTGCCCCGGACCTCCGTAGGCCTGTGGGTGCAGGCGTCTGGGGTCCCTCCAACCCTCTTGGGCCGCTGCTGCCAGGAGAGTGTCTCTTGTCTCTGCTTGCGGCTTCAGAGACCCCGCTTGTACTTGCCTGACACTCCGGAGCAGGTAGGTATACAGTTCTCCAGACCTGCCCAGCCCTTCCTCCCCTGTCTCAGCAGAAGTGAGGTTCTGTGGGGACTGCTATTGCTCTGGGACCAGGGCAAACATGAAGGCTGTTCCGTCTTATGTTTCCTAGATTGTACAGAATGGACGTCTCATTGTTTCTACAGAATGTGGCCACGTCTTTTGTAGCCAATGCCTCCGTGACTCCCTCAAGAATGCTAACACTTGCCCAACTTGCAGGAAAAAGATCAACCACAAACGATACCACCCCATTTATATATGAAGTGTGGAGAGCTGCTCAGGAGAGGTGGACGAACAGACAGACAACCTGGCTGGGTTCTCCACACAGCCTTTCATGGGTTCTCTGCCTCAATTTCCTGAGCTCAAAAAGACTATATTTCAAAACCAACATCTGATATGTAAACTGCTCTTTTGTTTCCAACCCCCTTAGGCCCTTTCGTTACCTCCAGGTTACAGCTGTGGAGCTGGGACCAGGGCCTCCCAGGCTGGGGACTTCATCTCTGCTCCTCTGGGTGGTCTGGTTCCAGGGTAGGAGAGAGGGAGTTAGGCACATTGGAACTGAGAATCGTGATTCTAGCCTCTTTCTGGAACCTGCATGTTTGCCAAGAAATTTTACCCCATTTGGAAAGTTTGCCCCAGCTTCCTCCGGGCAGTGTCGACAAGGGGCTGGCCCCGGGCAGAGAGCACGCAGGCCCGCCCAGCTCTCCCCGTGAGCGACATCGACCCAGGCATCTGTCTGCCACAGTGATCAAGCAAAACAAGGTCCATCCGGCCCAAGGACCCCAGGTGTGAGCACGGCCCTGGAAAGACCCACCACCGGACTTTTCCTTCCCTCGAGAGTCAGAGGTCACCCATGATCCCACCTGCACCTTAGCATTGATGTGCAGGGATTTCTGCAGATCAAGAGAATCTCTACAGGGCAATTCCCAGGTTCCCAAGAACGAAATGTGCAATAAAGCCTGTCCTTTGCCTACTTTTCAGCAGCCCAGGAGATGTAGCACTCTTAGCACCCCTCAGAGGCCTCACGTTGCCTGTGGAGCAGTGCCTGTCCCACCCCGTCCTATTCACCACCTGTTCTCAGGAACTTAACCCATGTCCCAGAGTTTTTCACCTGGCACAGGCCCTGCGAGCTCTAGAGGGCAGATATGTGGTCGGGTACCCTGTCTCTTTTCTGATAAAATTTATCCTGTTTGCCACATGCCCTCTGGTCCTCAGTTCCCACTGCCTGATGTCTACTCAAGCATCAATACTGGGAGGTGGTGGCGGTACCTGCGGCCTTACCAGCCACCCGTGTCCACGCTCTCGTCCAAGTCCTGGCTTCCCGTCCCGGAGTTTCAGAGTTTGGCCCACCTGCCATTAGCGGGGCTCTTTGGCTTTCACCCACACCCCCACACCAACTGACATTCACTTTAGAAGCTGCTCCTCTGGCCTTTCAGGCTTTGGTCCTTTGGGCTTTTGACTGCTCCATAGGTTTGGTTGGCAAAGTATGGTGGCCTCTCCTCCCCAAGGCAGCCAGATAACAAATGCTCTGCTTAACTTTCTGGGTATGAGCCTCTTGGTCCTCGAGGAGGCAACAGGGTGGCCTGAGCTGCCCCTCACAGCACAGGGCCTGGGGCAGCTAGTGGGGGAGAGGCCTTGCCGTGTCAACCTGCCTCCGCCTCTCAACCCCTTCTTCTCAGAGGGCTTTAAGCCAAACCAACAGCCTCTCTCTGTGAAACATCTTCAAGGTGGAAACGGGGCTGCCTCTGGCTTTGCTAGCAATAACTGACCTTCAGTTTACCATTCTGAAGGAGCAGGGACTCGGCACAGAATTCACTTTAAACGGGGCTGAAGGAGTGTCCCTCCTCTATGTGAAAAGAAATTTGTTTTATTCTTCATCCTGACTTTTTAACTGTTTGGCTCACTTCCAGTTAATTTGGATGAAAATAATAATTTTCTACTTGGAGTTGAGGGCAGGACGTCAGTTCTCATCGGCACAATGCTCGGTATGTCTGTCCTCTATTTGGACATCATTGCCATTAGGTTCCTTCTGGGCTTCATGGAAACTCTTTTGTTATGTTTCAGCAGTACCCAGACTTCAGAAACCCAAGGTGACCATGCATCCAAAATCTTTTTTAAGTTTTGTGCTTAAGGACAAATGGTTGATCGTAAAGGGTGGTATTCCTTCATACTAAATTAAATTGGGAAAAAAATGTTTAGTTTCTACTGTTTAGAAACTGCAAAATAGGAAAACGATAAGAAAAATTCATTTTCCTTTCTTCATTGTACATAGTTCAAATCTTTCTTTGTTACATTTAAACTATATCCATGTACATCAGTCTGTTTCAGACTCCTCTGCTAGTGTTACAGATGGAAATAAAACTATTAATTTGAAACCAGATTTCTTTCATGCATTCATTTGCTCTCTGGGATGGATTTTCTCCCCTTTTGCCCAAGATGTGTGATTCCTATCTGCCTCCAGTTTAGCATATTTTGTCAGAGTGCAGGAAATCTGCTTGTGTGGCTACTGATCCAGAAACCAGCAGGCGAGAGAGGTCATTCTTGGAGTGGAACCACAAGTCTAGGCCCTGGGATCCCTCAGCAGAATCTTTACCTCGGCCCTAAGAAGTGAGGCTGGTTGTGGGGCTGTCTGACCAGCACCGGCTCAGGAGAGGGCCTCTGAGCAGCATGGACTCAGATGGACCTGGGATTCTGACAGCGCGGTACACCCCTGCCTCAGCCACCCAGACATGGTCGCCTTCCACTCTGGGGCGGGGCCCGGGGGGGCATGGTATGCTGGTCAGTGCCCTGGGTGGTCAGTGCCAGGAAAGCTGGAAAGAGGGAGTGGGTTTGGGATTCCCAGGCAGTTGGTGCTGGTAGAGCTTGCCTTTCTCCTGTCGAGTGGCCCCAGAGATAGAAAAGGTGAATGTGCTGGCCGTCTGGAGCTCAGAGGCCCTACCTTCAGTTGGAGACAAGTCAGATCAGAGGAAAATGCAGTTATTCAAACACTCACTGTATATTTTTCACGCCCTGGTATTGCACTTGGCTCTGGTGGGTATTGAGAAACTCATGTATATTGCTGCCCTCCTGGGGTGTACATTCCTTGAGGGTGACTGTCCCCCCGCCCCCCCCCCGCCTAAGACAGTGAAAAGTCAAAATGCAAAGGTCAGCTACAGGGGTCCTGGGAGAGCAAGAGGGGATGGTAAGGTGCAGTCCTCAAGGTTTGAAAGTACTCTAGCGAAAGAAGAGGTAATTTACGTTATGTAACCTTGTTTTTTTTTTCCCCCCCCCAATGTACAACCACCTTGTATTTCTTGGATAAATCCACCTTGTTCATGATGTTTTCTTTCTATATATTACTGTTTTGCCAATATTGGGTTGTTGTTTTTTTTAAATCCATGTTTATATATAGTTATAGTGACCTCTGATTTTCTTAGTCTTTGCCAGGTTTTGGTTTCACTTAGGCTAGTTCCCTACAAAGAGACTAGAGTTTTCTCTATGTCCTGATTTTGGATTATTACCTTGATTGAAATGGAACTCATAAATAAGATCTCTGAACTGTTGCTTTCATTGAAGAAAGATTTTAAAATACTGATTTGAGGGGTGCCTGGGTGGCTCAGTTGTCGAGTGCCTGCCTTCAGCTCAGGTCATGGTCCCAGGGTCCTGGGATCAAGCCCTGCATCCGGCTCCCTGCTTGGCTGGAAGCCTGCTTCTCCCTCTCCCACTCCCCCTGCTTGTGTTCCCTCTCTATGTCTCTCTCTGTCAAATAAATAAATAAAATCTTTAAAAAATAATAAATACTGATTTGATATTTTTCAAATGTTTGAGAATGTACATTTTTGTCAGTTTTGTTAAGTTGCCAGTTTCTGGGAATTCATTTCATCTCAAGTTTTTGTCATAAAATTGTTCATAATCTCTTACAAGCTAATCTCTGTAGCATATTTTTATCATTAGTATTTATGCCTGCCTTTTTTAATTAGAGATTTGTCAGTTTTATGTTCTGTATATGTTAATTCCGTATCCAAATCCTTTTTGGGTCTAATTCTGAAGTTTTATTCTTGCTGGCTCTAACGACTTCTTCCTTTGTGTGTTTTGTGAGCAACTTCCTTATTTTGAGCCCATGTAACTTGGTACATGATCTGAAAATTCTTTGAGAACTGGAATGAAGGTGGGTGTTCCTCCAGAAAATATTTGCCTTTGCTTTTGTGAGGTACTTAAGGTTGTTAACCGACATAAGGCCATTATATTTATCATTTATGCCATAAAACATAGCACACAGAAAAGCACACTTCACTGGATTACCTAAAAAGTATAGCTCAGTGCGCCTGGGTGGCTCAGTCGTTAAGCGTCTGTCTTCAGCTCAGGTCATGATCCCGGGGTCCTGGGATTGAGCCACATCGGGCTCCATGCTCAGCAGGAAGCCTGCTTCTCCCTCTGCCTGCTGCTGCCCCTGCTTGTGCATTCGCTCACTCGCTCACTCACTCTCTGACAAATCTTTAAAAAAAAAAAAAGTACAGCTCAATGAATTACCATAAGTCAAATGCCCATGAAACAGCCAACCATGACAGGAAACAGGATGTTGTCGATGCTTTAGAAGCCCCTACTCGTCCTTCTTCCCAGTCAAAACACTCTGCCCTCCCAAGGCAATCGCTATACTGATTTTTATGGAGATCACTCCTTTGACTATAATTACAATTACCAAAACATGCAACCTTAATCACATAATTTTGTTTTACCTGTTTTTTGAACTTCCAAATAGATGAAAGTCTTCAGTATGTATTGGGGTTGGGAGCATCTATTGCTCAGTGTTACATTTGTGAGATTCATTCATGTGTAGTTTATTCATTTCGCTTTCTGTGTAGTATTTCATGAGATGAATATGCTTTAGTTTATCCATTCTTTCAGCCATTTAAGTGTTTTGGCTATTAATAGCCCAGAGTGAACATTCTGTATGTCTTTTTTGGTTTACTCCCATACCTGTTGGGCATATACTTAAGTGTGAAATTACTGTCAAAGGATATGAACATTCAGGAAAACTCATATAAGTGGAAATTAAACAACACGTTTAAACAACTGGTGGGTCAAGAAATCTCAAAGGAAATTAGAAAATACTTTGAGAAGAATAAAAATGAAAACACAAAACTTCAAGGATCCAGTGAAAGTAATGCTCAGGGAATATTTACAGCTGCAAATATATACATTAAAGCAGAAGATCAAATCAATAGCCTAATTGTATGTCTTAAGGAACTAGGAAAAGAAGAGCAAACTAAACCCAAAGCTGGCAGAAGGAAGGCAATAGTAATAGCTTAATAGAAGATTAAGCCAGAGATAAATGAAACGGATGATAGAAAACAAAACAAGGAACACCAGAAGTTGTTTCTTTGAGAAGATCAACAAAATTGACAAGTGTTTAGCTAGACTAAGAACAAAAGATTTAAATTAATGAAAGGATATTACTGAACTTTATAGAGATAGGGAGGATTATAGGAGACTACTAAGAACACCTGTATGCCAACAACTTGGATAACTTAGATGAAGTGGATAAATTCCTAGAAATACAAAGTAACAAAACTGACTCCCAAGTAGAAAATAAGAGGAAACCTATGAAAAGTGAAATTGAAGTATTCAAAACAACAAAGAAAAGCCCAAGATCAGATGGTTTCACTGGTAAATTCTACCAAACACATAGAAAAGAATACTGCTTTTTGGATTCTTCAAAAAAAATTCAAGAGAACACCTCCTAACTCATTCTATGAGGTCAGTAGCATCCTGATACCAAAGCCACACAAAGCCGCTACAGGAAAAGAAAATTGCAAAGTAATCTCTCTTGTGAATATAGATGCAAGAAATCTTCCAGGTGCCTAAGAGACTGAATTTAGCAGCATACTAAAAGCGTTACACACCATAACCAAGTGGGTATTTCCCCCGGAATGCAAGAGTGGCTCAACCTATGGAAATCAATGCAATTACTACATTAATAGACTGTAGGAAAGAAAAAGTAATACATCATCACCTCAACTGATGGCAG